TCCTGGGTCATAGGTCAGGCAGCAGAGACTGTGTACCCTCCTGCTCTCAGATAGCCAAAAAGGAGCTTTTAGATGCATTAGCAGATGAATTATGATATCATGGTATTTACATTTAAATGTATGCATTTGAAAGAATGATGAATTTTTTTAAAGGATATTAATATATACTAGCAATTACATCACGTTGTGCTTTATTTTTATAGCACCTAATGCTCATAACATACTGAAGGGTTTTTTTTAATTCTTTTTTTTTTATTAAGTCATATATACATGGATCATGAACACATTTATACCTTTGTGGGATTCAATGTGTTGATTATTTGTACAAATTGGAGTGCTTACATCCTACTAATTAACATAGCTGTCACCTCATTTACTTAATCACAATGTTAAGATGTTTGTGTTCAATACTTGATAGATTTGACTTGTACCCTTGCAATATACTCCATAGATTAACCTTCCCTCTATCTAACCACCCCTTTCTCTTCCCATCCTCCTCCCCTGCCCTCCCTCATCCTGGGCTAGAGTTGTGATTCATCTCTCATATGAAAGTGTAAGTGTGATTATAAATTGGTTTTATAGTAGTACTGAGTACATTGGATATTTTTTTTCCATTCCTGAGATACTTTACTGAGAAGAATATTTTCCAGTTCTATCAATGTAAACATAAAAGAGGTAAAGTCTCCACCTTTTTTAATGCTGCATAGTATTCCATGGTATACATATACCATAATTTATTAATCCATTCATGGGTCGATGGGCACTTGGGCTTCTTCCAAGACTTGGCAATTATGAATTAAGCTGCAATGAACAATCTGGTGCATATATCTTTGTTGCCAATTGAGTTTTGGTGTTTTGGAAATATAGTTAGTAGAGGAATTGCAGGATCAAACAGCTGGGCTACATTTAGACCCCTGCATGTTCTCCAAACTTCTTTCCAAAAGGAACAAACTAGCTTGCATTCCCACCAGCAGAAGTGTTCCCCTTTCTTCAGATCCATGCCAACATCTGTAGTTTTGGGATTCTGTGATGTGGGCTACTCTTACTGGAGTTAGATGATGTCTCGAAGTGGTTTTGATTTGCGTTTCTCTGATGATTAAAGATGATGAGCATTTTTTCATGTATCTGTAGACCATGTGCCTGTCTTCTTCAGAAAAGATTCTGTTCATGTCTCTTGCCCACAATGAAATGGGATCACTTGTTCTTTTCTTATTAAAGTTTGAGTTCTCTGTGGATTCTGGTTATTAGACCTTTATTAGAAGCATAACCTGCAAATATCCTCTCCCATTCTGAGGGCTGTCTACTTGCTTTACTTACTGTGTTCTTGGCTGTGCAGAAACTTTTTAGTTTGATCAGATCCCAGTAATGTATTTTTGATGTTGCTTCAATTCCCTGGGGGAGGGAGGTCTTCCTCATAATTAGTCTCCCAGGTCAGTTTTTTCAAGTGTTTTTCCTGCACTATCTCCAAGAAGAGGGAAATTTATAGCATTACAAGCCTTCCTCAAAAGAACAGAAAGAGAGGAAGTCAACAACTTAATGGGACATCTCCAGCAATGGGAAAAGGAAGAACATTCTAATCCCAAACCCAGCAGAAGAAAAGAAATAACTAAAATTAGAGTACAATTAAATGAAATTGAAAACAAAAGGATTATACGACAGATCAATAAATCAAAAAGTTGTTTTTTTGAAAAGGTCAATAAAATAGATAAATCTTTGTCTAACCTAACCAGAAATAAAAGAATAGATAAACTTTTGGCTAACCTAACCAGAATAAAAGAATAAAATTCTTTATTGAAGAATAAATTTCATCAACCAGAAAAGATAAAAGCCAAATAATGACAGACTCCTCAGAAATTCAAAAAATCCTTAATGAATATTATAAAAACTCTATTCTCAGAAGTATGAAAATATGAAGGAAATAGATCAATACTTAGAAACATGCCACCTTCCTAGACTCAGCCAGAAAGAATTGGAAATGTTGAACAAGACTATATCAAGTTCTGAAATAGCATCAATTATAAGAACTCTCCCCCAAATAAAAGCCTGGGACCAGATGGCTTCACATCAGAATTCTACCAAACCTTTAAAGAGGAACTAGTACCTATATCCAAAATATAGAAAAAGAAGGAATACTCACCAACACGTTCTATGAAGCAAATATTGCCCTGATCCCCAAACCAAGAAAAGACCCAACAAGAAAAGAAAATTATAGACCAATATCTCTAATGAATATTGATGCAAAAATATTCAATAAGATCCTAGCAAACAGAATGCAGCAACACATCAAACAAATCATACACCATGAGCAGGATCCCAAGGATGGTTCAATAGATGCAAATCTATACATATAATACATCACATAAACAAAAAATAAAGACCATATGATTTTCTCAATTGATACAGAAAAAGCTTTCTTTCTTTCCAGCATCCTTTCTTGACCAGAATGCTCAATAAAACAGGTAAAGAAGGAATATTTCTTAAACTGATAGAGGCCATCTATAGCAAACCTGCAGCCAATATCGTGTTGAATGGAATAAAATTGAAGTCATTTCCATTCAGCTCAGGAACCAGGCAAGGTTGCCCATTGTCTCCACTGCTTTTTAACATTGTAATGGAAGTCTTAGCCATTGCAATCAGGCATGAGAAGGCAATCAGTGGTATCCAAATAGGATCAGAGAAGATCAAACTGTCACTCTTTGCAAATGATATGATTGTATATCTGGAAAACCTCAGGGACTCAACTACAAAACTTCTAGAAGTGATCAAGGAATAAAGCAGTGTCTTAGGATACAAAATCAATACTCACAAATCTGTAGCCTTTGCATATATGAACAATAGTCAAGGTGAAAAAATAATCAAGGACTCTATTCCCTTTACAATAGTGCCAAAGAAGATGAAATATCTGGGAATTTACCTAACAAAAGATGTGAAAGATCTCTGTAAAGAAAACTGTGAAACTCTGAAGAAAGAAATAGCTGAAGCTGTTAACAAATGGAAAAATATACCATGCTCATGGCTGGGAAGAATCAACATTGTTAAAATGTGTATACTTCAGAGAGCAATCTACAGATTTAATGCAATCCCTATTAAAGTACCTCGGTCATACTTTAAAGAGCTGGAAAAATTAGTACTTTGTTTTATATGGAAACAGAAAAAACCTTGAATAGCCAAGACATTACTCAGAAATAAAAACAAATCAGGAGGTATCATGCTACCAGACTTCAGATTATACTATAAATCTATAAAGATCAAAACAGCATGGTACTGGCACAAAAATAGAGAGGTAGATGTATGGAACAGAATTGAAAACCAAGAGATGAACCCAGACACTTACTGTCATTTGACCTTTGATAAGCCCATCAAAAATATAAATGGGGGAAAGATTCCCTATTTAACAAATGGTGCTGGGTGAATTGGCTGGCGACTTGTAGAAGACTGAAACTGGACCCACCCCTTTCACCTCTAAAGGAATTGACTCTCTCTGGTTAAAGGACTTAAACTTAAGACATGAAACATACTGAAGGTTTTACTTTTTTTTTTTTTAAGATTTAAAGTCTCACTCTGGTACCCTTACTAGAGTGCTGTGGCATCATAGCTCATAGCAACCTCAAGTTCTTGGGCTGAAGTAATCCTCTTGCCTCAGTTTTTCTATTTTTAGTAGAGACAGGGTCTTGCTCTGGCTCAGGCTGGTCTCAAACCCCTGAACTCATGCAATCCATATGACTCGGCCTCCCAGGGTGCTGGGATTACAGGCACGAGCCACTGCACCCAGCCTTGAATGTTTTACTTATTCATTATTTTCTGAGCTGCTTAGTTTAATGTTTACTTTTAAATCAGGTTATACATATAGTTTAAAGTGCTAAGCCAGCGTTGAGTTTTTATTTAAGAAAATGAACACATGAAGTTCTATGGCTAAAGAGATGAGGGGTAAGGCCCCAATTCCTGGCGTCAGGAGACTGGGGGTGCAGCAGGAGGTGGCTCTCCTGCCCTCTGTTCTCAGCATCAAATGCTATCCTGTGTCACTCATATACCTCCTCCACACTGGGCTTGGCTTTCTGTGTGTGATGCCTGCGTGTCCAGATGTGTTACTGTCACTGCCCCCTCCTCCTGCAGCTCCCTGTGGAGGTTGACACAAGGCACCTGTCCCAAGCAGCAGATCCAGGGGTCCTGCTCTGTCTCTGGGGATGCTTTGTGGTGCCCGGCAGTGACTGTGCAAACCCACATCTTCCTGAGCCTCCCAGTGGGCTCCACGGCTGCATCCTTCCCATTCCTCATTAACAACAGCGGCTATGGGGGGGGGGGCGTTGTGCTTTCTGAATAGGCAGAAATGTCACAGTCACTGGATGTTCAATTAGTTACAATAAAGCAAAATTTATCTCTGTCAGAAAGGTGCGATAGACACCAGCATGGCTCACTGGAGAGTCTCGCTTAGCACCTGCTAGTTGTAGAGTCTGACACCTGTTATTGTGCTGCAATTGTCAGCAGGCTCTGGGTGACTGGCGGCAGGGAAGCGGCTCGGCACAGGTGCACCTCTGTGTGGTTTGTTGTCAGCTGCATTCTGATTCTTCCTGGCCATTAGCGAGTTTGGCACTCCTGTGCCTTTTGGGAGCTCAGTGTCCTCACCTGCCCATCAAAGGAGCCCAGACCCACTTGTGGGATTCTCTGAGGGTTAAGTAAGTTGGTGCCTGCACAGTGTCAGCACAGGGCTCTCAGGTTCGATCCTCCCACTGGATTGTACATGCAGGCTCCTGTGCCCCCAGCCCATGTAAGACCCACAAGGGCAGCTGGAGCACAGTGAGGACAAGGAGAATGAGTTGGTCATGTGTCTAGAATCAAAGACAGACATCAAATCAAGTTCAAGTTTGCTGTGGTTTCTTTTCTTAAGTGTTATATTCCTTAAGCTTTGCTGAAAAAGTGCCCTGGCTTTTGTAGGTCATTCCCACGGTGGCAGCTCCCTTGAGCTCCGTGGGATGTGGCATCAGTGTCCTTTCCCTCCACAGATCCCCGTGCTCCTGAACCTGAGCCAGGACCCAGAGGTCAGCCTGCCTGTGCCACCACTCATGTACGCGCTGGCCCTTGGCGCCTGCCTGGGAGGTAAGGGGCTGCTGGGCACGTTGGGGAGGGAACATCAGATTGAGAGCAAATTAGGGAGAGCTCGATGATTTAGGGGTGGAAATATACCTTCAGCTTTATCCAGAGTAATTCCAGAGCCACTCAGGTCTGCTGTGGAGCCCACCACTTCCCACCTTCTGCAGAGTGTCTCTGCAGAAATGTCAGAGAGACACTCCTGCGGAGAGGACAGGCTGATGTGCTCCCACCCCAGGCCACGTGGACTGTCTAGAAACAGACTCCACAAGAGGCCAACAGAGTGGCTGTCTGCCTTGCTCCCTCTTCCTTATGTGGTAGAGGCACAAACGGGTGAGCAAAGGAGTAGAGACTCAAACGGAAGACTGGGAAGAAAGAGTTAAGAATTTCCTTGGTGGTGGGGTTTGCGCATTGGAGAAACTGAAGAGTGTTAGAGAGACTGGCCTCTGGTGGCCAGACAGGCGCCTGGGCCTGGGAAGTGGTTGTGTTGGGGAGGCTGAGTTGGAGCCCTTCTCACGCTTAAGGAGCCTGATCCCCTCTGGGGACACAAGAGGATTGTGGAGAATCTTGTTAGATGGACACAACAGATACGCTTTACGGTTTTACTCTTGTATCCAGGCAGGCTCAGATAATCCAGCTTTCTTTGTTCTTTGATTGATCTCTGAGTATTAAATCAATAACTTTCTGGTTAGTTTATCTTCGTGGTTGCAAAGGGGGATTAATGTCATCCAGTGAAGTTTCTATAATTTTTGGAGACAGCTAATCCACTTAACTCAGTGACTGAGATCTCCAGTTCTTAGGAGAGTGTAGAACTGTTGGAATAACTCCATCCGAGGGCCAGCCCAGGGCAAGCAGCCCTTCCATGCAGGACCACATGTAACACTGGCATAACAAGTGGCATCCCAGGACGCCTGGAAGCACATCCTCTGTGAGGGCTTTTGTTTGTTCCACCTCAGTGAGCGTTTGCTGTGACCTGGTGTTGTGCAGACCAGAAACACCTCATCCCTGTCCTGGGTGGAAAGGACAGTCCCCTGCAGCACAGATGGGTGCTCCCTGTCACAGGTGCACCAGGGAGTGATGGGGATGGTCAGAGGGGCTGCTCTGGGCAGGCAAAGGGTGAGATCCCTCCCATGCTGGTAGGACAGGTGAACATGGGGGGATTTCTCAAGGAACAGTATTAATGGGGACTGTTTATAGCTAATACCTAAAATAGGATTAAACACTGACTGACAGAGTACATTCTGAAGCAGGGATACAGCTGTGGTGAATAAAACAGGTTCAAAGTTTTTAGATCTTTATTATTTAATTTTTTTTTTAATTTTAGAGACAGGGTAGAGGGCAGTGGCATGATCACAGCTCACACGGAGCCTCAAAATTCTGGGCTTAAGAGATCCTTCAGTTTTAGCCTCCTGAGTAGCTAGGACTACAGGCACCCACCACGACAGGCTAGTTTTTCTATTTTTGGTAGAGACGGTGTCTCCCTCTTGCCCAGGCTAGTCTCAAACCCCTGAGCTCAAGGGATCCACCTGCTTCAACCTCCCAGAGTGCAGGGATCACAGGCACGAGCCATGGTGCTTAGCCAAGGGTTTGGCAGTTTTAATAAATGTGGCAAAATATACATGACATAAAATTTCCCACTTCAGCTATTTTAAGCATCTCAGTGCATTATCTACAGTCACGTTGTGGGCAGCCATCACCACCACCCACCCCCACTTTTTATCTTCACAATCTGAAACTCCAGACCCCATCAAACAATAACTCCCCATTTCCCAAGTTAGGCTTTTGAAGAATACTTTAAAAAGAAGTTTTCATTCAGTTTTAGAAATGTCATTTGCTATTTAAATTGGGGTGATTCACTAGGTAGTTCAAAATAAAACCCTATTTTACTGGTCCAAGCCCAGTACATTTTGATTGCCCTTTTTACTAACAGCTGAGAACAATTCCAATAAGTCTTCAGAAAAATCTGCCTTAGCCTGAGTTTTCTGGGAAGCAGAGGCTGAGGTGAGTTTACGTGCTAAGGATAGTTTGGTAGGTGCAATCCTAGGCAGAAAGACCGAGGACAGAAGGTGGGGTGAACACAGAGAAATGAGGCAGAGGCAGCTTCCTTGCTGAGGTCGTCTGTCTGGAGGCTGTGGACAATCCTGGTGGCACAGGGCACAGTATTAAAACCTGTCATAGTCCTATCTGAAGGACTGGTGTCTCTTCACCTCACCATGGGGGATGCTTATGTGTACAGGTAATTTTTAAGCTTTCTGTCCAGTGGAACATTATCAGTGGTTTGCAAACGTGACCTGGATAATCCAGCTTGCGCTGGCTGATTGATGCAGAAAGTTGCACTAGTTTCTCTCTGTGTGGTGTTCATCAGAAACAGTCAGGAGTAGTTCAGATGCCTCTCTTGTTCTGCTCTAGACCATCTCTCTGTACAGGGTGGTCTAGAGGTGCCAGGATAGGGGAAGACAGGTGAAGCTATTCCCCAGCACAGCCAAGCCCATGGGAGTCTCAGCACACGGGGACCAGGAAGGAGGCTTGGAAGCTGGGGCAGTGACAGTGGGTGTCCAGCTCCTCACTTCATGCATCCCCATGCCCTGGGGGTGCCGTCAGACCCTGCCAGCGTCTTACTGCTGCAGCAGCCATCCACATCTGAACTGTGCGCTTGTACTCTTACGGTTGTGCAAGCCCCACAGCTACACTGAGGTGCCAGGGAAGGTGAGAGAGACAGAGACAGAGTCTGAGCACAGATGTCAGAACTGAGCTGTACTGAGCCTAGGTCGAGTGCCTGTCCCCAAATGCTGACCACCGTGGCTCAGTGGGATGGGGAGGATTATCGACTTGGCTGCATGGATTCAGCCTTCCCTGGGTGGGTGTGAGTGTGTGGGGTGGGTCTGAGGGCCTGCTGGGCCAGCTCCGGCCCATGCCTCTCCCAGGCTGTGAGGACTACATGTGTATGTGTGTGCCATCAAAAGGGGCTGACCAGGGAGTGTCTTATGGGAAGGAGGCCCTTTGGTGAAGAATGCCAAGTCAAGTGGCTCCACTTGGTAGCTTTTCTGTGTCTTTGTTCACTGGAAGTTCCCTGGTAGGTATCTAGGCCTGGGATCTCGAGGAAGGTGAGTCTCGTCTGAGGTTGATTCCAGCTCCGAGGGACTCACGTGCTCGCCTTGTCTGTGATCTGCTTGCATGTCCTCTCATAGCTGCCCCCGGTCCTGCAGTGTCTGTCCATTCTGGTTAGCACTTTGCATCTTCTCTATTGCATGGGTCAGTGTAGCCTTGTCCAGAAATGAATCATGGTATTTACAGGCAGTGAGCTTATTTTCTGGTTGTGTGTGTGGGTGCGTTTGTGTCTGTGTGTTTCCAGGTATTTGCAAAGCAATCACTTTGAGGTGCCTGTAAAGTCATCATCAAATCAAAGCCTGTGGGATGATTCACAGATCGTGGAACAACACAGAACAGAAGCTCACCACCGAGATAAGCTGGGGTTTTATTCTTGAAATTTCGGTTTTAGGGAATGGAACACTGATTGGAGCCTCAGCAAATGTCGTGTGTGCAGGGATTGCAGAGCAGCACGGATACGGGTTCTCATTCATGGAATTTTTCAGGTATTTAAAAACTGCATTTAAAAATTCTCTGAACTATCTGGTTTCTAAGCTTAAAAAAAAAAAACACACAAAGCAAACTGTTAAGCCCAGGATAAGCACATTTTAGCATTTAGAGAGACTTTGGTATAGGTGAGGTTAGCATAGGAAAAAACACATTAAAAATGTACTGCTGGGATTAGATGTAACCCTGTGGGTGATTCAGACATTCTGGATGATTCAGGTTGTTGAGTCAGGAGCCCAGCAAAGGGCTGTGGGCTGCCAGGTATTCCATGTTGCTATCTTTTTGGAAAGTCCAGTGGGGCTTGTGCCTTGACTGTCTATGAAGATGGCACATAGTGGGAGCCTGCGGCCCCTGCTGCAGCCTGGAGCTGGGTGATGGTGCCGGGCACTGCATGGCAGCACTCCTCACGTCTCCCTGTATAGTACTCTCAAGCCGTCTGCACAGAGGCAGGCCATGGGAGGGCACCCTCAGGAGGTCTGCACAGAGGTGGGGTCCATGGGGGGGCACCCTCAGGAGGTCTGCACAGAGGTGGGGTCCATGGGGGGGCACCCTCAGGAGGTCTGCATAGAGGTGGGGCCCCTGTGGGGGCACCCTCAGGAGGTCTACACAGAGGTGGGGTCTGTGGCAGGCACCCTCAGGAGGTCTGCACAGAGGTAGGGCCCCTGGGGGGCACGCCCAGCACATTTCTTTCTATTCAGAGGCACCTGCCTCTGGTGCCTACAAAAGACATCCTGATCTGGGTGGGGGGCTGGGTCCACCTCAGGGTCCTGACTGCCTGTGTCCCGCTGTCCAAGTGGCACAGCTGCACACTGCAAGCAGGTCAGTGGGCAGAATTGAGCTTGGCAGCCCCTGAAAAATGGTGCTGTCAAAATGCACTTCATTTATTTGATGTTGAGCAAGAATCTTGCAAAGTTCTTTGACATGCACAGGGATGGTTTGGTGCTGGCTAAGTGGCAGAGGGACTGGACCTGCAGCCGGGGGAGGCGTGGCCTTGGCCTCAGGCACTGCTGACTGCTGCTGGGCCTGCTTGGTGCCCAGGCCCCACAGCAGGGCAGGACTGCAGGCAGTCTCTGTGTCTAATGGGGTTCTGACTTTCGTTGGACTTGCTCTGTTGGCCATTTCCATAGTTCATGAGGAAGTTGTGATACTTGGTAATTTTCCTGAGACATTAATTTGAATGACACTCCAGGGTGACCTGTGTGGGAAAGACCTTGGCTGGTGAGGGGGCTACACAAGAGCCCTGGAGCCTGGCACTTTGCTGACCCTGCCGCTCAGAGACAAGGCTCAGAACCTAGTGCTTGCCTCGCAGCAAGGCCACGATACACTGCCACCTTCTCATCTGCACCCCCAGGCAGTGCAGGTCCTGACCCAGAGAAGGCAGGGAGGGGATGGGGACCAGGGGCAGAGGAAACACAGATGTGGGTCCACCAGTCCCAGCACCCTCCCGTTTGGGCCAGGCCCCGGATTTCTGGAAGACTGTCTGTCATTCAGCCTGTGATCTCTGCTTTGGTTGGCCAAGCACCCTGAACAGTGGCCTGTCTGCTTTCTGGGGACCCATAGGCTGTACTGAAGAGGGCAGGAAAGCACTGTAGCCATGTTACAATGCCGGCTGGCCTCACAGATGGGCAAGGATGGCCTGGTGTTAACACTGTGAAAACATTGAGGGGTTTTAGGGTAATCGTGCACCCAAGTCAGGTCTTTCCCATAGCATCACTTTGGAATGATGACCAGGGAAACTGCCCACCTGAAAGGGCAGTTGTCCCCACACCAGGACATGCAAGGTCCCAGCAGGTCAGCTGCAGTGGGCCATGCAGGTGTGAACTGGACTTCCATGTAGGCCTCACCTTTGGAGCACTGGGTGTGGCACCGTCTATGTGTGTGTGTGCTGTTACAGCAGTGAGCGGCCAGGATGACACTTAGGAATTTGGTGGCCTCAGAAACCTTGGGCAAGACTGCCAGTTGGCCTCCTAACAGCTCACTGGCCCCGGCCTTGTGAGACACGTTATCTTCTCAGATGGAGAGGGTGTCTCTGTGGTCAGCGCAGGAGCTGTGCCTTTGCTGGTTCCAGTTCTCCCAGCTCTGACCACCCTTCTGAATGCCCGGTCCTGCTGTGTGAGAATCAGAGTGGACTTCCCAGGGAATAGCCATCTAATTGTCGGAGGCTGTGTGGGTACCATGTGCTGGATTTGCAGTGGCAGACACACAATCTGAGTTGTATCTGACTTATTTAAAAATTTCTTTCCATAGAGGTGGCTTCCTGTGAGACACAGCACAAAATGTTAACTTCCTGCTCTGTTTATTGCATAAAAGAATAAAATATATAAGTGATCTGTAATTTTGCCACCGAGAAGTAACCACTGATGATAATTTGTTAAGTTTCCTTACATCTCCCTGCCTCCTGGATGATGTGTATTTGTTTTTTAGCGACGCTTCTTAACCACAGTGTGTCCTGCCTTGTGTTCTTTACAGCTGTGGTGAGCATCTCACCAGGCCAGTAGTTACCCCTCCAGGGTGGAGTATTGAGGCTGCAGCACACAGATATGTGCCTGTTTCTTTCACCCTGAGGCACCGGGGTTTCTTCCTGCTCTTCACTGTCATATGATAAATATCTTCACAAGTCAAACTTGGTTTCATTTCTGATAATTGAAGATGAAGTTCTGATTTATGACACTGACTACGTGAATGATGCCTTAAGAACCTGGGTAGCGCGGGCAGGCCGGCGCCCAGAGATACTGCTCTCTGCCGGGTGGCACAGGGCAGGCTGGCGCCCAGAGACGCTGCTCTCTGCCGGGTGGCACGGGGCAGGCCGGCGCCCAGAGACACTGCTCTCTGCCGGGTGGCACGGGGCAGGCTGGCGCCCAGAGACGCTGCTGTCTGCCCGGGTGACACGGAGCAGGCTGGCGCCCAAAGACGCCACTCTCCACCCTTGCCACTGAGCCTCCCACTTTAAACGCTCAGGGTTCCTCTGGCTGGCTAACCGTAGATTCCTGTTTTGTTTTAATTAATTCTACTGAGATTAAACTCTTCCTGTTAAGTATTGAGTATTTGCATTTGTTATTTTGTAAATTTATATTCTTATTCTTTGCCTGTGTGTTTCTCTTGAGAGATTTGAATTCTTCCTATTTTGAAGGGGGGGAGGAACAAATTCTGACAGGTAAATTTTCAGTTTATCAGTGACTATTTTGCAGTTTATCTCTGTGTTTTAAACTTTGCCAAGGATCTTTTAGATACTCTATAGTCAAAATTGATACACATTACCTCTATTTTTAATCTAGACTTTTTTCCGGTTTTGTTAAACAAATTTTATTTTATTCTGGGGGGGGGTGTCTTGCCTTTCTTTCTTTCTTTCTATTGTTGGGGGATTCATTGAGGGTACAAAGAACCAGATTACATTGATTGTATTTGTTAGGTAAAGTCCCTCTTATAATTGTGTCCTGCCCCAAAAGGTGTGTCATACACTGTGACCCTCCCCATACCCCTCCCTCCTTCCTTCTCTCTGCTCTCCCCTTTCCCCACCCCCTACCATGTACTAATGTACTAGGTCATCAACTATCCTCATATGAGAATTGAGTACATAGGACTCTTGATTCTCCATTCTTGTGATGCTTTACTAAGAATAGTGTGTTCCACTTCCATCCAGATTAATACAAAGGATGTAAAGTCTCCATCTTTTTTAATGGCTGAACAGTATTCCATGGTGTACATGTACCACAGCTTGTTAATCTATTCCTGGGTTGGTGGGCATTTAGGCTGTTCCCACATTTTGGCAATTGTAAATTGAGCTGCGATAAACAGTCTAGTGCAAGTGTCCTTATAGTAAAAGGGTTTTTTTCTTTCTGGGTAGATGGCCAATAATGGAATTGCAGGATCAAATGGGAGTCTATCTTGAGTTCTTTGAGGGTTCTCCATACTTCCTTCCAAAAAAGTTGTATTAGTTTGCAGTCCCACCAGCTATTAAACAAATTTTAAATCAAACAGAGAGAGACACACAGAGAGAGAAATATCCCATGAACACTTTGCCCAGATGCTCCCAACAGTAAACTCTTAAGAAACCACAGTATAGTGTCAGAGCCGGGACTTTGAACTCAACACGGTCCGGGTACAGAGTTCCATCACTGCAAGGATATCTTTTTATAGCCACATCTACTTCCCTCTCACCGTTACCCCCTCTAATTAATCTGTCTTTCATCTCTAAAACATTGTCATTGCAAGAATTCTCTATAAATGGAATCACACAATATGTGACCTTTCCGATTGACCTTCTCCACGTGGTATCACTACCCAGCAATTCATCCCAGTCAGCTCACATATCAATATTTCATTCCTTTCCTGCATCCTGTGCTATGGCTGTACCACCTTTGGTTTAATAATTCATGCATGGAAGAGCATCTTAGGTTGTTCCCAATCTGTAGTTATTATAAATAGAGTTGCTGTGACATTTCCTCCCAATCTCCAATTGTCTGTTCATCCACTAACAGGTTCTTTACAAAGCAAAAGATTCGAATCTGAAGGAGGCCCAATGTGCCAAATTTTCCTTTCACATATCATGGTTTTGGTGTCCAAAGCATGACAACATGAGAGCTTGAACTCTCTGCCAAGCAAAGATTTTCTATCTTTTTTTCCTAAAAGTTGTATAGTTTTATATTTTATGTTAAAGTTCATGTTCCATTTTGAGTTAATTTTTGTTTGAGGTGCGAAGTTCAGATCCAGGTTCTAGTTTTTCTGTCCCCGTGGACAGCACATGACTAGAATCACTGGGTGTAAAGGCTGTGCTTTTCCCTTGAATTGTGCCTGTGACCTTGTCAACAGTGAGCACGTCTGTGCGGCTCTTGGAGGGTCCCCCGTTCCAGCCTGTGGAGCTGTGTGGGATCTGTGTGTCTATTCCTCCCTGCACCAGTGCCATGATCACAGCAGCTGTACAGAGCTGCTTCAAAAGAGAAATAATACAGTGCATTCAGTTTTATCAGGATAGAAATATTAGAATACACAACGAATTTAA